GAGGGATATCGGTGGGGCGACAGAGGCACATGCGCGCTTGTCACTTGGCGCGGCCAAGACCATGGGGCTGTCCGTGGCGCTAGGCATTGGAAGGCTTGCTAGGACGCCACGGGGCGCGCCCAAGGGGTCATGGGGCACGACTGGAAAGCCGCCCATGACATTGATTATGATGTTACAAGATCATGGCACAATTTGACCCATTGCACTGAGGTCTTATAGCCTCTATCATGTTAAATGGGAACTTACAGAACTTGCCTCTTGATTGATTTGATGCATGCTTAATTATCAGTAATCGGATTGATTTAGCAAGAATAGTTAGCTACAGCCTTGAACAGAAAGCTTATATTTATAACTACTAGATCTAGCGACTAATCTTGGGCATTATGACCATATTTTTCTTTTACTTTATACTGTTTTTTTCTGTTTTTTGATGGTATATTTGATGCTCATCATAGGTTACCTCCATGGAGCCTTTAGTATGACATGTCTTAGATGTTGTAGGCCTATACTAGAAAATTTGTTTTCCAAGCTTCTCTATTTTATCATATAGATTTCTTCAAGCATGCCTAAATAACCTTGATTACCGTCAAATATAATGTGCTAAAGCACTCCATTTTCTAAAAAAAATAGGGTTCAAATAAAATGACCCCTCTATTACATACTAAAGATTATTTCTTGTTGGATATTTTCAAGGAAAAAGAAGAAACAAAATCTAAAGAGTGTCAGGGCGTTTTTGTCGTTTTTATTTTAATCCATGTACTACTAATACCCATATTTTTTTCCACATTCTACTCCGCATAAAATAATGCTTATATTCCCGCGTAACTTATGCAGAAAAAAAGAAAAAAAAACAGCCAAAATGTATGTAATTGTACGGAATTAGTGTGGTGATTATCTTTTATTCCACCAACCAAACAGGCTCTTAAGTTATTGTCATTAGTGAAAAAGTTTAAATACTTCTACAACAACTAGGCAAACAGCAATCTCAAGTCTGTTTTTCTTGAATACTGCCACATCTTTGCTGAAGTGTTGTAGCTTGGAAATTAAATAGAGTCCATGCAATATGTGATATTGCAGAAGCACGGTAAACTAATTCTTGAAAGAGAATGCAGCTTTTAAATTGGATTGACGAATTAATAGATATAGCCTATTGGGATCATGCCTCTCTATCTGCATTAGGTAGGGGTAAGGTCTGCGTACAGACTACCCTCCCCAGACCCCACATATTGGATCAAACTGGGTTTGTTGTTGTTGTTGTTGTTGTAACCTATTGGGATCATACTGGGTTTGTTGTTGTTGTTGTTGTGTAAGCATAAACACTGAATTGCAGTGATAACGGGCTAAACAACTTTGAGTCATCGTCAACCTACAAGTCTACAAAGGCTACTTATATTTGAAATGGTTGTCAAAGTACATTTCTTCAGAGATTGTCTTTCAATCTAGTGTGCTCCCTACTTTACACTATCTCAAATTCAATGATATTGATACTTTAAGGGGTTCTGCAATTGCTTGCTAGATGTTGCTAACCTTTTAGATTCATCTTTGATAATGCTTATCTGGAAGCCTTTAGCTTGCATCTGCCAGTCAATGTGATCTTACTTTTGCCAGGCCATCGAGATATCTAGTAATGAGTACGAACCTTCAGAAAATGACATTTTATATGCTGAAGGGGTGGCTCCTTGCAATGGACTTGCTTCTCTTGAATTCTCATTCGATGATCACAGCCCTATGTCTGAGATCTATGACGAGGACTTAGAAAGCGAACCTCCTTGGACCAAGTAACTCTTTTTGCATAGCTAATATTAGTTTGATAAAGTGAACCTATTGCCCCTTAGTGACCACCCGCTTTCTTCTGTTTGTCTTCCTTCAGGTATCAATTGATCCGTATCAGTTCCAAGGGAGTCCATGATAGTGGCAAATGGCTTGAAATGTTTGAAGATGTCAAAGTGGTAGTCTTTTGTGTGGCCTTGAGTGACTATGACCTGGCATGGACCCAAGGTGATGGTACCTCAGAAAATAAAATGTTGGCAAGCAGAGATGTATTTGAGAGTTTAGTTAGACATACTAGTTTTGAGGAAGCCTCTTTTGTGCTCCTCCTAAATAAATATGATATCTTTGAAAACAAAATCAACCAAGTTCCTTTGACAGTCTGTGATTGGTTTCATGACTTTAGACCTTTGAGACAGAGACAAAACAATCAAGCCTTGGCAAATCAAGCATATTATTATGTTGCTGTTAAGTTCAAGCAGCTCTATGCTTCAATCACTGGCAAAAAACTATTTGTTTGGCCGACTAGGGCTCTTCAAAGTACATCTGTTGATGAAGCATTTAGGTATGTACGAGAAGTAGTAATGTGGAACGAAGAGAAGGAAAAGATGTATTGCATCGCTGAGGACGATTCATTCTCCAGTACGGAAACTGATTTTACTCCTTGAATGCAGCCAGCTAGAATTATTTTGCTCTGTGTGTAGGCGGAGTGAGATATCAGCTCCCAACTTGGTGTGCAAAAGCTCCGTTAAGTAGTGGAGGACACAAGGACTTTTAGAGGTGTTCCTGTCTTGTAGATCTGCAGCCCTTGTGTCTTTTTAGTGGCTAAACACCATCATTCACAAATTACTTATTGGAAGTGAGAATAGCATTTGTTTAACGATTGAGACATTCATTGATTTCATGGCTGAAAAGATCTGGCAGACTCAATGAGGCAGTTTGTAACTGAAATGAATGATGTTTTGATCTTATAGCTTGTAAAAATGTAGAGCAGGCGTTGGACTCTCTTTTATTGTAAATGTCAGAGCTATTTGAGTTCTAATGAAGAGTGCCTATCTCCCATTTGTGTTGCTCTGTCTTCATGCTTGCTGCAGCTCTGTGCCGGGTTGGTCAAGCTTACAAGATTTGCTCATTTTGAAAACTACTTTTTGCAAATAGAGATTCAGAAGTACTCTCGGTTGGCCTATCGATCCAAAGGTGCATTTGAGTGTCAAATTTACAACCAAAAAAAAAGATATTTTTAAAGATTCATTTTACAATTAATGTTATTTGAATAGCTAAATGATTTAAAATGTATATTATGAGAGATTTCTAAGTTATTTATATTCATTTAATTAAAATGTACTTACAAGATATTCATTATCACTGCTTATTTCATTAAAATTATACAAGAAACCTGAGAAGATAAACGTAGATAGTACTAGAACGTATATAGGTGATTTGTTGCAACGACCAATTACATTTCATGTTTTTCGACTGAAAAGGAACCACCTCGACAAATGCGTGCCATAAGATGGCAGTAACAAAGCGAACACAAAATTCATATCACATTACGAAGTCTTAAAAAGGTCACTTGGCACCGGTTCAGCTTCAACTAGATCTCAAATAGCAGTGGAAGTGCGGTAGCCAAGAAAACTCTACTCGTCCTTGAGTCTCTTTTCCACCTCCTCAATGCTCTGAATCTCCTTATAGTACTTGCAGACACGATAGATACACCTATACCCACATAAAAACACTTTGTTTATGAACTGGATAATACAAAGCCCAAATTAGTATCAAAATACAAGGTCGCAAGGGATTTTGTATATATACCAGTAGAGAAGGCACGCTGCCAGACACAGAATAGCATTTCTTTGAGCCTTGTAAATCTGCATAAAATAAGGGGAGATCGAAGAAGTTATACAGACAGAACACAGCAATGGATGCAATCATGGTAGTCTTTCAGCTACTGTATCGTCAAACATAAGGAGATAAACACAAGGTGACAAGTGGAACTCATGCTTCATATGTTATGTCAGGATGTTCAAGCTATTTGTTGCAAGGGATACTTTGGAGTACTAGCTATGAGAGCAACAGGAAAAACTTAAAATGACATTCCATAGGCTCTGGTTCCTCATATATCTGAACATTATATATTGTAGGATCAGGTAGATTATATTGCTAGGACTAACTCAATCTTTGGACTCAGATCCACCAAAGCAGATCAAATGCATTTGATCCATGGATTCCAGATAGATGAAATAAAAAGTGAAGTCAAACAGTAATAAGTTGGTAGGCTCTTCATGCTAATAGAAGTTATCAAATAATTCAGTCTCACCATGATGCCCATACAACCCCAATGTATTTATCAAATTGAAGAAACTAAGAGCAGCTGCCTCTGAAACAATCATTTTAATTCATCCTTCGAATAACCATTCAGTTAATGTTTGTGTGGGAGTCTTCCCCTAAGAATAAGAAAGCAGACAAGACTGGAACAAAAGGTGAAAGGTAAACACTAAGCAGTGCATTTCAGAAAAAGCATGTGCAATATAGCATTGTGACAAATGCTTTTTTCCAGCTATTCTTTCTCTATATGAATTCCTGAGATCATGTGAAAAACAAACCTATGCGATACGAGGAAAGCACACCATTGGAACCCTTATCAATCAGGGCGGTGATCATGAAGAACTAGTTTAAACACTACTGATTAACTTCTGAAGTGTTTCCTTATTGGTCCACACTCATACACTAGAAATTCCAACATAAGAACTAACCAGTAAAAAAGGTAAAAGACATCCTTTCAAACGAAGTGTTTCATCGGCCTTTAAGTTTAAGGTTTCATTACGCCTAGATGCATTTACATGTTGATGAAAAGTTCAAATACTTCCATTAATGGAAAGGAACAAGGACACCAAATTATGGTTTCTCCCCTCATTTCGTTCAATTTGTCAGCAGTTTGCATAGTTTTCTATTCTTCAAAGCCATGGAATTCCCTTTCCCGATTAGAGAAAATTTTCATCAGTTGATTGCACACACATTACTCCTGTTCCGTGTGTTCATGTGAAAATCATGAAGAAGACACTCCTAAGTTGCTTTTGACACTCCTAAGTTGCTTTCCTTTTTATGCAACCACCTATTATATAGATGTCAATTAATGGAAACTGCCAAAAGTTTTCTTTTTTGACAGTAACCTTAATTTATTATATTGCCACTCTTCTTACTAATTCAGCATATCACTGCACATGTGATGAATGCTTTGTGGCAGGAGCGGAGCTAGACTGAAAATTAAAATGTGTACATAAGGTCATTTTTTTATGTATATACATTAGACTGAATCCCACTGGCGTCTTCATGTGTAACTTTTTCTATTTTTTGAATCTAAAGTGCTTGCCAAATTAGACGCCTCAAAGAAACACCAATTTCTAAACATATCCAAGTCCAAGAAACATAGGTTATCAAGAATTGTCAGCATAGTTATATCTTTCTCTATCCAACTCTAGAAAAATTAAACGAAAGTCGATCAAAGTGAAACTGGGCCGTGTAGGAATAATCTATTGATTCCATGAAAGGAAACTGAAGTGTACGCCTTGGAGTAAAACGAAAAGGAGTGTAAAGCAACAAAAATACAGCAATTTGCAAATCATAGTGATAAGAATGACATCCGAATCTCTTTGCTTCATCAAAATAAAAGAAGTGAAACAGTCATCACAGCATGATTCCCCAAACATGTGGATGAGTGGATCACACAATCTAATACCAAAATATAATTCGAAAAGACACGAGTCTATAAATAGCACAACCATGCAATACCGACAGTGATTTCTAAAACAAAGCAGCTCACTTAAGGAATTTCAAACTATTTTCCACCATTAGATTGAAAACATTTAACTAGGAGATGTCTAATCACTAGTTACCATTAGAAGAAAGCTACAATCTTACTAGAGCTAAAATATACCTAGCAAAACTGTCTTGATCAGGTCTATTTTTCATTCAAAAAAGAGAAATACATTGTCATCTTCATTTTTAAGAACTTGATCAAGATTGCTCTAAACCAGGAAAAGCGCTGTAACCAAGCTCGAATACGCCATACCATCATTTCATTTTTTCCTTGTACATCAAACAACATTCTCTAATTATGTTCTTCAAATTACGGACAAAAGGTGACTAACAAAGCAAATAGAATTTGAACTAAATTACAGTTGGTTCTATTTCCTTCTAAGTTCAGGATGTTCCCTTGAAACAAAAGACTATGTAAAGAGTCATACTCACACTAGAAGAAAATCGGTATGAGCTTAGCCGTTTGGTGGTGGATTCTCTCTCTCGGAGAGATGCATTCTTGCGCTACTCAATTTACGTTAGCTTTAACTACCTCCACTTGGGTAAAATGTACTTTTTCCGAATTAAATATTGGTATTAGATTGTGTGTTCCACCTGTTTGGGGAAGAATGCTGTGATGACTGTTTCGATAAGGTGAAGAGATCCGGATGCCATTTCCAATCACATTTGGATGCAATCTCCTATGGTTTCTTCGCCAACAAATAAGAGTGCAAAAATCATAAATTGAGATTTCCTCAATGTTTAAATCTCAAAATATCGTAATCATCCCCAAGTTTTATGGATTTTTATAAAAATGAGGTAGCACGCTGCTTACAAATTTAATGACACAACTGTAATTAGCTCGTTTATTAATTGCTAAAATCCAATCTACTAGGCGTAATAATTCACAACTTCAGTTAAATATATGCGCAAACCTGTAAAAGTCAGCAAAAAAGGGTTTGAAAGTTTACGGAAAAAAAAGAAAGAAGGAGAGAAATTACGGATTTCTCGTAGCGGTCTCTCTCGGCAGCAGTGCAGATCTCCCCCGTGCACATCAACCGATGCTCATTTTTCCAATATATATCTAACAAAAGAAATACACCAAACAAAAAAGTAAAAAGAAAAAGTTCAAAACCCTAAGTCCAGTGATAATAGGCAGATTACTGATAAGATCCACTTGGAAAAAATAAAAGAGAAAGAGTATAAAGTATATGTACCGAGGAGCTGAAAACCGGCGAAGGGGACGATGAAAAGTGAAGGTTGAAGGGTGAGCGAAATTAATGAAACGATACGAGATTTGATTGCTTTAGGAGAGGGCAATGTCAGGAGAATTGCTACGGCAGCCTCTGCCGCCACCACGTACGTCAGTATCATCCACTGCAACGCCATTTCTCTGAATCTTTGCTGCTTCTGCTCCCAAGTATTCTTCTTCTTTTTGGTGGTTTCACTCTGACTGGTATTTCTTAATTGCCAAGGTTGAAGAAGCTTGTCCTCATCTTAATTCTCATTAACGCTTGGCAGTTTTACTATGAAATTACCGAACTGTCCTCTTGATTATGTCAGTATTTTTGGAGTCATTTGTAATTTTATTTAATAAAGTAGGCCAGAATTTAATGACCACGCCAAAAATAGATTGAGTAGCTGGAATTTTTTCCCATTGAAAAGTCTATCTTGTAGCGGCACCGGCAATTTCTTTTTAACAACAAAAGAAAATGCTAGAAATCTGACTGTTTTATTTTAGAGAATATTTGTTGCTGTCCATTTTTTGCATTTTCCTTGCCATATTTTCATTTCAAAATTTCATTTTTTGTGTGTATTTTTCCACGTAGTACAATCTTTGATCCTACTTAAAATAGGAAACGTTGTCTAAACTTCGAGCCACTTTTAATGAACGGGCGCCTTGGTTTCTACGTCCAGACTAAAAATAATTACCAAATACATGTATGTAGTTTTTATATGGATCTTCCAGTTGTGATTGAGAGAAAATTTCTATCCAAACTATTGAAGCTTAGAGTTAACAATATTTATAAAAAGATTGGCTAAAGTTCCTTGATTGTGTTCTTTACTTGAACACACTAAATGAGGTTATTTAATCAAATTTGTATGATCTGCTTATTACTTTTTTGTGTATATATATATATATATATATATATATATATATATATATATATAAGAGGATTCTAAGACTAATGACTAGGATTAACCAAGAGATAAAACAAAGGACTAGTTGCACACGGTTCACCAAGAGGTAAAGCGGTTGATCAAGTGTAGCAAC